GGTCAATATTTCCATAAGCTGACACACAATCTTTGATTTAATTCTAATCGGAAAATATTTGGAGTATAATATTCCATCTTTCCCGATAATATTATTTAATGAATTCATCGATAAACTGTTAAAAAACGATTACAAATACTCGAAGCCTTAGGCAAACACGCCCAAATTAATAACATTTCTTACATAAGTAAGTATTACATATATTTCCTTAGAAAATTAATAACACGAACTGTCACGAAGCGACATTTTTAAATGATGAAACTCACATCACACCAACAATAAAAACTGATAATGTCTTACGAAACCCGTAAATCCGGGCAACTTATATTTAAATATGTAGCGGTAAACAAAAAGCTGGTTCATATTGTTAAAAGATTAAATATAAAAGCTTTTATCTTTCATTTGTCTCTAACCAAATTAGTACATAAAGAATGTTTAGGTAGCAATTGTTCCTTCAAACATATCTTATTAAAAAGTATAGACATTTTGTGTCTATTAACTTTGTTTATCTTCTACAAACTGCGAATGAACTTTTACAAAAATACCAGATGTCGATATTTATTTTCAATGATTTATTATCATTTTTGTGTAATGTATTTTTGTTCAACTATTTTAATAAGACAGACTGTCTCAAAAAAGTGACATCATTAAAAATGTGAATATCTGAGTAAGTACATGTTCCAGGCAAACGAAATTAAATAGACTTCATGTTGAATAATAAAAGATATATTTATCAAAATTCGTACAAGATATTCAAAGGAATGTAGATTTTATAATCGATTTCACAAAGCTTCACAACTGTCCAATATCCATATCACCTGTGACACGACACACGTCAAGTCGATAGTCCAGCTCTTGTCAAACACGTTGTAGCATGTCTTGCGTAACATTCTCCAGAGCCTCATTATTGATTTATCTTAATGAGAATCTACAAGGAAGGTGGATCGGGCGTGCTTCTGATAAGGGCAATGTGTTGTTGAAATGGCCACCACGTTCATCTGACTTGACACTTTGTGATTTTTTTCTATGTGAAAAGACAGGTCTATATCCTTCGTCTTCCTATCAGCCTGGAGGTTTTTAAGCAGAGAATTGCCGAAGCACTGGACAGTGTCCTTGTTTAAGTTAGTGAATGCTACCAAAAGCCTTGCCTTCAATTTCATCTTTAGTGTTATATGTAGCTTTGCTGATCTCTCGCTCAACTGCGACCAACACATAATAATCAAGAGGTTTGTACTCTGGGGAGTTAGATGGCCAGATGTAAAAGGTGGTGATGTCGCAGAAATTGTCTGATGGCCATGACTGGGTTTTCCTGCTTTTATAACTACCTAGCTAGCTAGATATGAATATTCTGAGATAGATAGATAGATAGATAGATAGATAGATAGATAGATATGAACATACTCAGATAGATACACTCCTTGTAAAAAATCTTACGACCAGATACAATGGGTTAAAAAAAATTAAAATACTATTATTTTAATTGAAATATATTTGCGAAACATTTAAATTTAATTAGAAAATGTAGTTTATCAACAAACAAGTGAAAATTTTAAGCTTTTAATTGATTGATTTAAACATTGAAAAAGTATTTTTTGTTTTTGGTTGGTCATAAAGATAAGACTATGTAAATAAAAATAGCAAATACAGAACAAATAAGTCACAACGACAATTTAATTTTTAGTATATCCTCCATTTTGGTAAATTACTTCAAAAATTTGCTTTGGCATACTCATTATTACCTTTTGCATGAGGGTGCTTGGGATGCTTGCCCAGGATGCATAAACTGCAGCATGAAGAGCATTCACAGTTTCAAATTGAGATCCATGTTTATAAACTTCCTTTGCCATCCATCCACAAACATTCTTGATTGGATTTCGATCTGGAGAGCGTTCTGGATTGCATCATTGTCCTGCTGGAAAATCCAGTTTTCTCCACATACACGTGGGCCTTCATTAATTAAAGATGCCTTTCTTAACATGTCAATGTAACTAGCAGCTGTTTGACGAAATTTTACCTCCCGTAACTCAAGAGTTCCAGTGTACCAAAATGAACCCCAGACCATAATCGATCCACCTCCACTGTGTCGTGCTGAGTAAATTTCTTTTGGGACATCTTTTACATGCCAGTAACACTGAAAACCGTCTGGGCCAGCAAGGCTGAATTTTTTTCTCGTCTGCAAACAAAACATTCTTTCATTTATCCACGTCCCAAGTTTGGTAATCGGAAGCAAATTGTAAACGGGAGGTTTTATGGCGAGGAAGAAGGCTGTCGAATTTTTCGAGAGCTGCATTCAGTGTCTGTATTCGCTTTTATCTGATTTGATGTTAAGGCTTGAATCTTTCTTAACTTCTCGCCTAATGTCTAGAGATGGTGAGATTTTATTTTTAGGTTGACGGCTTGATTTTTTAGAAGCGTACGTATCCGGATTTTTAATGAAGTTAGCAATGACAGTTCTGCTACGGCCAATTTCATTTGCAATGGCTCGTTACAAAAGACCACGTCTTTGAAGTTCAACAATCCTGCCCTGTTCGAACTTGAAGGTTAAAATTTTACCCTTAGCCATTTTAAAATCTGAAATTTAACGCTGAAAATTATCTAAGTAGATGTCTACACGCCTGAAGCTGTGAGCACACCGACCACTTCTGGCATTTTTTGTTCAGTAATTTTTTTCACACATGTTCTTATCTTTATAACCAACCAAAAATAGTTTTTCAATGTTTGTTTAAATTAATCAATTAAAGGATTAAAATTTTCACTTGTTGTTGATAAACTACATTTTCTTATTAAATGTAAATGTGTCGCAAATATATTTCAGTTAAAAATAACAGTATTTTATATTTTTAACCATTTTCTATCTAGTCTTATGTTTTTTGACCAGGAGTGTGTGTGTATATATATATATATATATATATATATATATATATATATATGCATGTATATATATATATATATATGCATATATATATATATATATATATATATATATATATATATATATATATATATATATATATATATATATATATATAGATAGATAGATAGATAGATAGATAATGAACAGACTGAGATAGATGTGAACAGAGATAGATAGATAGATAGATAATGAACAGACTGAGATAGATATGAACAGAGATAGATAGATAGATAGATAGATAGATAGATAGATAGATAGATAATGAACAGACTGAGATAGATGTGAACATAGATAGATAGATAGATAGATAGATAGATAGATAGATAGATAGATAATGAACAGACTGAGATAGATGTGAACATAGATAGATAGATAGATAGATAGATAGATAGATAGATAATGAACAGACTGAGATAGATGTGAACATAGATAGATAGATAGATAGATAGATAGATAGATAGATAGATAGATAGATAGATAGATAGATAATGAACAGACTGAGATAGATGTGAACATAGATAGATAGATAGATAGATAGATAGAGATAGATAGATAATGAACAGACTGAGATAGATGTGAACATAGATAGATAGATAGATAGATAGATAGATAGATAGATAGATAATGAACAGACTGAGATAGATGTGAACATAGATAGATAGATAGATAGATAGATAGATAGATAGATAGATAGATAGATAGATAATGAACAGACTGAGATAGATGTGAACATAGATAGATAGATAGATAGATAGATAGATAGATAGATAGATAGATAGATAGATAGATAATGAACAGACTGAGATAGATGTGAACAGAGATAGATAGATAGATAGATAGATAGATAGATAGATAGATAGATAGATAATGAACAGACTGAGATATATGAACATAGATAGATAGATAGATAGATAGATAGATAGATAGATAGATAGATAATGAACAGACTGAGATATATGTGAACATAGATAGATAGATAGATAGATAGATAGATAGATAGATAGATAGATAGATAATCAACAGACTGAGATAGATGTAAACAGAGATAGATAGATAATAGATAGATAGATAGATAGATAGATAGATAGATAGATAGATAGATAGATAGATAGATATGAACAGACTGGGATAGATATGAACAGATATAGAGATAATAAAACTGAATACATTTCTAAATTTCTACTTTCAAAGATCAGATTTTTTTTATCGACCGTTAGCCTCCAATACTACGAGGAATTGTGCAAACTACTCTGAAACGTGACTGATCAAAATTATTTTTGCGTGTCTTTTACATGAGCATTTTTTTTTTTTTTTTTGGAGCGGGGATTGTTTCGACTCATGATTAGTTTACGATTTGTATGACCGGTACAAATCATTACCCAGACTGATTTTTCCCACCAATCAAACCCGCGCTTAACAACAGCACCAGCCCAGCCCTCATTGATCTGCTGTGCGGATGTCATTGCCATGGATACGTCCGACTCAGTTATTCACATCTGACTCTCTGAAAAACCAAACCAAGAAAAATTCATATGAAAGTACATTGTTACAATATACGCATCAGTAAAAAAAACTCAGCCGGTATCTGTTTATATTTCTCAGATGAGGTATTATAACTATCTTATTTACATTGTAATAAATGTTGTCCTCATATTTATTGCCATATTCACGACGTTTCAGCCGTTGTACGCTCTGGCCTTCTTCAGAATCTGTCTATATTACTGAGATGATGTATTGCATCTATTTACATCCTTCGGACTGTTATCCTTATCTTTATTGCCATATTCACGACGTTCCCGCCATTGTACGCGCTGGCCTTCTTTAGAGTGTGTCTATATTTCTGAGATGAGGCATTGTAACTATTTACATCGTTCGGACTGTTATCCTTATCTTTATTACCATATTCACGACGTTCCCGCCGTTGTACGCGCTGGCCTTCTTTAGGATCTGTCTGCATTTCTGAGATGAAGTATTGAAAATATTTGGGATATTGCAACAAACATGAGGACAACATTCCGAACGATGTAAGTAAACCCTTGTGCAAATTAATTGAAACAAAACGAATAATTCTGTTATTATTCCCTTT